CACGGGACACGACGCCCTGGATGCCCACAGGGCCGGATCCCGACACCCCGGCGGCTCACAAGTCCGCATGGGCAGGCAGGTCCTCGTCCACCCTCAGGGAGGCTCATGGGACAGAGCAGAACCTGCCCCCAGGGAGGGCATCCCTCCACCCCCTGCCTTCGTTAGAGCTAATGAGCGAGGAGGCTCGTTACCCCACCAAAAGAGGGCCGGCGAAACGCAAGCCGCGGAGGCAGCAGGGGACTTACAGTCTCTGTCACTTTGAGGTCCAGGCTGGGCAGGGGTGGCAGGCTGACCACCGTCTTCCTCCGGATCCCGCTGTAGCAGTACGTTCGGCAGGGTTAAGGCGCTTCACCGTCACACGAACGCGGCCGCGACACGTTACAACTCAAAGGGATGCGGCTGCAGGGCTCGCGATGGGCTTGTGCGAAGGTGCAACGGCAGCCAGCCCCCTGCCCGCCCTGAGCTCCCCCGGGCTGCTCTGAGGGTACGGCAAGGACGGACAACTCCGAGCCACCCTCAGACAACCGAGCTGAACCTTCGAGTTGAAAAAACAGCAACCAGACCCTCTCAGAAGCTACAAAATACCACCTCGTGCACAGACTTGTAAGTGGGAAAAATGGGAGAAGCAGCGGCTGTCACCACCAGTCCAACCAGCTCCCTGGGCTTCCCCTGGCCAGCCGGGCACGCAGAAGGATATTGCGACTGTCCTCGGCCTCCCAGCCGTCGGGCTTTGATGTTTGGGAAGATCTCCCGGATGATCTTGCCGAAATTGGCGGTGCTCAGCGGGCGACAGCAGAGGTTATCACAGTATCGCCTGTGGGGGAGAGCCGCGGGTTACAGCCGTCGAGTCCTCACTGCCCTCCGGACAAACCCAGCAGGGCCATTCCCAAAAAAACCCAGGTGCTCGCTGCCCTCAGAACCGACCTCCCTGCTGGGGGACGAGCCCGGCCCCGGGGAGAGAGGCTCCTCGCACCAGGCTGGTCCCTGCGCTCACTTGTAGGCGTCGTAGACATCCTTCTTGGGCAGGCAGGTGTCCGTGTGCTCTTCCAGGTGGTTTCGGATCCAGTTGCACGCGTGCATGTACTCGGCTGTGCTCAGCGAGCTCAGGTCCAGGCTACCGCTGCTCCCGGGGAAAGCCCAAGAATAACAATTAATTAGTGGAGAAGCAGCACAAGCAGGACAGGAGAAGGCAGAGCCGTTGCGATCTCCTCCCGGCCTCTGGCGATGTGTGTCCCCCACTGTCAGCCGGACAGCCCCTGCTCACCCAGACACGGCCCCAGCTCTCTCTGGCACCCACCTCTTTTCCCCCAAGCTTGGTCCCGACGGCAGCTGGAGGTAGAGGTAGAGCTTGTCATTGTCTGAGAACTTCTGGACATCTTGCTACAGTCAAAGGGTCCACAGGGAGGGGGAGGACGGACCAGAGACAAAGAGAGGTTAAGGATCCAAAATAAGGAAGAGCTGGTGCAGCCAGATCCTGACCCAATGAGGAACGGATCAGGCAAAACCCAGGGCTCAGTTTAGCTAGGAGAGGTGGAGACATGTCGTTCCCTCACGCTCAGCACAATGTGCTGCGGGGGCACTCACCAGGATGGAGTCCACTTTGTTCTGCACGGATTTGCTGCGCAGGAGAGAGACAAAAGGCGTTAGCGCAGAGCAGGATGACACCGCAGCACCCGGGGCATCCCTCAACCCCCCCAGCTCTCTGCCACAGCCGCTGCCCAGCGCCCCCGAGGCCAGCGCTGACCGCTTCCAGAGCCCGCATGTGCACTCCAGGGTGAGCGGCAATGCCAAGATGGGGACACCGGAGCACCAAAAGTCAAAGGCTGGATCAGTGCAGCCCATTCTCCCCATGCCCCGGGTTTCCCTGTGCACCCACAACCCCTCTCTAAAGCTGCATTCTCTCCCCTTACTCCAGGGAGGGCAGAAGAGGCGCAAAACCACATCCCGTGGGGTTGTAGCAGACCAATCCACGCTACCACAAAACCCTGGATTGATTTTGCACCCAAACCAGGCAGCAAGCTGCTGGCAGCGCAGCGTGGGGCTGCACTCTGCGTACAGCACCTAGCACGGGACCGAGCAGGGCACGCCTGAGGCCGTGCCCTCTGCAGCGCCACCGCAAGAAGCTGCAAGGCACCATAACGCTTATCCCTTCGGTCCCTAGGGCTGCAAATTAATCAACCTTATTAAATTAACCCACATTTGGTAACTCTCAGATTAACCGGGAGAGCTGTTCTTACGAGATGCTGCTTTTCAGCTCCTGCAGCAGTGTGCTCGACTCGGTCGTGCTGCCCCGGGAGCCGCTGGGTGACAAACTTCCCTTTTTGGCAGCTCGGGCACTCAGCTCTTCATCAGCCATGACATTTGGTTCCTGTTGGGAGGCAAAACCCAAAAATTCAACTATAAAAAGGGGAACAAAAACCCTTCAGAGTCATAAAGCCCCCACCGGGCACCTGCAGGGCTGGGTGAGGGAGGAAGGGCAGAGCGGGGCGGCCACGGGGCTCGGCGCAGCCCAAAACTCGCCC